GGGGGGGGGGGGATACTCACAGCCCTCCCGATGCAGAAAACAAAGTGATTAACTGGGAGGAATTCAAAGAAATTCACCCACGCTCCATCTTCACAATGGCACTGTTCACCTGAATTCAGTGTGTGGATGTCTAATAAGCACCTACTGTGTGCCCAGCAGTGGCCAGACCAACGTGAAGAGAGGCAACTGAGAAAGCTGTCACCTGCCCTTGGGGAGCTTCAGTGTGGCTGGAACACAAGATCTGCCCACTCGGAACAGAGATAAGGGTGAGGGAGGGGGAGGATGGGGGGCTCGGATTCAGTGATGGGAGTCAAAGCCAGCTCCTCAACCTCACCAGCTGAGTGGCTGCCAATGTGTGGCTAGAGCCCGTTTGCAGGATGGTTGTGAGACGTCAACCTCCTGGCACACAGGAGCTCAGCACAGGGTCCTGGAAGGCAGCTCTGACGTCATGCCCACTCGGGCCGGGTGTTGTCCTCGTAACTTATTTAATTCTCCATGGGCATGGCAGAGCAGTTCAGGAACTTAGCCAGGCTCGCATGGCTAGTACGAGGTAGGGCCCGGCTATGAACCCAGGTAGCAACGAGGATGGGAAGCCAGCACTGGAGCAGGAGCTGAGCTAGATTTGGAAGGGGGGACGGCACCCCAGAGGCAGCGCAGACACCAGCAAAGGTTCAGCTGCAGAACTGTCCTTCGAGAGCAAACACTTATCTCCAGAGAGGCTGGGTGCCTTGTCCAAGGTTCTCCAGATCTACTAGAGGTATCCTGACCCCTGTACCTCTGAGTCTCAACTTCCAGAAGAGGCCCTGAAGCTGCTCTGGTGGGAGGCAGAGGGCCATCTTGAACTCAGGACCTTGGTCTCAGGCCCGGTACCTTCTGATACTGTCCCCCAACCTTCTGCCCCAACCCCATTTCCATCCCCCCATCTTGTTGGAAGTATTCTTTGGGGGACACTGTAACTCACTGATTTGGAGTCAGGTTGTTTGCCTTTTGGTCCTGCCTTACTGAAACGTGTTTTTAGGCAAGTTCCCTAACTTCTCTGAGACTCAGTCTCCTTAACTGTAGAATGGAACAATAACACTCACCTCACAGGAGAAACAGCAAAAACCCTAGTCCTGCGCATGAATATTAGAGGGTATTTAAGAATTATTGTTCACGGCTTCAATGACTGGGAGCTATGTATCATCGGAGCAAACCCCAGACTTACAGCGTCCGCCTCACCTCATAGATGTTGAATTGGCTCTGCCCGCGGGCCAGCTCCCGGTAGCTGGTGGTGAACTCCCCGATGAAGTCATGGCTGCAAAGGAAGGCCGCTGCTGAGACCTGAGGCCCAGGCTACGCTTTGCCTCTGCCCACCCCACCCCACCAGCTCTCACATTTCCCCAGCTCCCAATTCTGCCCAGGCCTCTGCTCCAGGGGCACATGCCAGCAGGGAGGCTGGGTCCCTGGAAGGGGTCCAGTTTCACCCATGGAGCAAGGAACCCAATGGTCAAGTAGCAAAGAGCAGGGCCCTGGAGAATGGGACCCATTTCTACCTAGATTCTCGTTTGAACAAACCGGCAACAAAAGGTATTTTGGGGACAACTAGGGAAATTTGGATATGAAATGAATATTAGAGGGTATTTAAGAATTATTGTTCAAAGCGTCAGGTGTGATAATGGTATTCATAGTTATGTGGAAATGTCCTTATTTTTTAGACATTCCCAATAAGATATTTAGAGATAAAAATGCCAAGATGTCTATAATTTAAACTACATCAACAAATGTAGAGAAAGCAAATATGGCAACCTGTAACACTTGTTAAATTCAGATGATAGGCTTAAAAGTATTAATCATTAAGCTCTTCTCTACTTTTCTGTGCATTTGACATTTTTCCGATAACATTTTTTGAAAAGACAATTAGCGCTTTGTCCATCAGGCCACTGGAGGGGTTTTCTGCAGTGTCTGCACTTCTGGGGCTCCATGTGTGTTTACAGTAAGTGCAGCAAAGCCTCATACAAAGCAGAAGTCCCACGTCTGCTGCCTTTGACCTTCACGTCTGGCCTAGAGTGCCTACTAGAGAGGGAGGTCCAGGCAGTGTCCCTGGGGCCTTGCCCTCCTTGAGCCCACACTGTATGTTTTACTACATATTTATAGTTCTCTGCTTGCAGACTGTGAGCTCCATGGTGGCAGGAACCAATTGCATCTGGTGGCTGTCCCGAGCTTTCTCCCATAAAGGAGAAGTAGGGGGAACTCCAGGGTAAAGTGAAGCAAATCGTGGGTGGAAACATTGCCTGTGATGTGGTTAAAGAGGACAGAAGGGGGGCCAAGCGAGTTTCCGGAGGCAGCATTGGCCCTGGCCGGTCATATAGGAAGGTCTCAGGGGAAGGGAAGCTCCTTGGAAGGAGCTTTGGCCTAACTTAGAGCTGCATTCACACAGCCCTTTGCAGCATCCTCTGTTCACATCCCAGACTTGAGAGTCCCAAAGGAGATTATGGGGCATAAAGCCCCTTACAATCCCCTGCTAGTACCACAGAATGGAGGGGTCACAAAGTCAGGGTGGTGTATCTGATTTGGTTCAAAAGACAAGTAGGAGCTGCTGAGTGTTCTGGACTAAAGCTGTGAGAGGCCTCTCATCTATGAATTCCCAGCGGCACTGGCTCCTTGGGGACACTTAAGAAGGGGAAGGCACTGGCCTCCTGAAGACCCTGAGTGGGAACTGCCCTCCCACTGGCCAGGCTCGGCCCCCGCTCAGGCACTGCCTCGAGGCTCCTGAGTCCCTTCGCGTGTGGCCATTGGCCGAGCTCCTCTTCTGCACCTCGGTCACCCCACAAAGCTGAGCCTCACACAGAAAATGCGTCTGTGAATGCTCAGGATGTCACTACTATCTATGCCTTACAACAGGCATATTGGGGAAAATCCAAAATCCTCCCAAATGTGGGGAAATTTTAGGCACTGGCTGGCTGCTAGGCAGCTGAGGAAAAGACGCCTCTCATGCCCTTTGCACCATGTCCTTCGGGACAGAGGTCCTCTGGTGCCAGTGGAGCTGGGCAAGGACCAGCCATGGGGCAGTGGATGTCCCAGAGCCAGGCCCCCTCACCCCCAGAGCTGCCACGAGTCAGGGCCTAGGCACAGGTCTCCCCATGTGAGGACGGGGCCCCATCTCCCCCAGTGGCTGCCCCATCCCCGCCCCCCTTTGCCCTTCTGCCTGCTTACCTGCCATCGCGATCCCAGTCGTACACCTCCACCTTGATGGTCCTGTGAGGCAAAGGGTCCGTGGTGGGATGGGCTTGACCCAGCACCCACGGGACCTAAGGACAGGGTCCTTCTCATGCTCCTGGGCCCTCGTGAGAGGCAGCAGCCAGAGAGACAAAGGAACTATCCTGAGGCCTTTTAGCAAAGGTCTTAGGGACAGAGGCAGCCCTAGGGCTGGGTAGGGACTTCCCCGAATTTCAGGGAGGAATGGAAAACCAGCCTCAGACTTCAGTTCACCCTGCCTTCTGCTTGGCCACCCTAGATTGGGCACAAGTCCCAGCATGAAACCACACTATGAATTTATCAGGGGTGGGGCCACAGTACTGGGGGATGCTGCTCCCCAGATTTCTGGCCTAGGCAGGGTGGGCTCTCCTGGGAGGGGCAATGAGACAGCAGGACTCCAGGGCCCACGGGTCCGAGTGGTGCGGAGCCAGCCCTGCATGCCAGGGGCCGGCCTGCTGAGCTGCTCCAGCCAGGACTGGCTCCTGAGTGAGGGTGTAATTACCTTCACATTTTCGCCTGGCTGCTTTAATTAGTTTGTTTTGACTCCTGTGCTTGGGGCTGGGCTCTGGGAGCCCATTTTATTTTTAGCCCGTTTCCATGGCAACAGGCTAGCGGACCAGAGGCAGAGGAGGGAGGTGGAAGGCTGCAGGTTAACCCTTGGCGCCAGTGGTCCTCCAGGGATGCCCAGGGATGGGGGAGCTGCCGGGATCCCACTGTAGGGTCAGGGTCTGGGGAGGCAGGAACCTCGTGGGGAGCCAGGGTCTCCAGCCTTCAGTTCTAAATGGGGCACTAAGAGGTGGCTGCCTGGGCCTGGTTTTCATTAAAATCTCATCATCTGGCCCATCCATGGCTGTGGCCCATCTCAGGTCTCTGAGGACTGGGCCTTGGGGTTCTGGAACCCCAGAAGGAGGCGCTGTCTCCCTTTGGATGAGCCTCCGCGGGCTGTGGATTGGCCCGCGTCAGGGCAGAAAGTGCCCTGGAATGAAGGAGTGCCCCGCAGGTTGGGCACCAGCTGCGTTTCTGTTACTAAGATAGAAAATGGGGTGGGTATCGAAGCCCACCATTTAAAGGAACCCTTTAAATTCTTGTGAAAAGCAAAACACAGTATTTCTCTGAGGTGAATTACTGTGGAAAGAAAAAAAACTCAGGTCCCTGAAAGTGGGCTGGTGAGCTGGAAAGAGCGGAAAGAGGCCGAGGTGTGGACTTGGGTGCTGGGCTGCTAGCTGGGGGGCCTGGAGCTGTCACTTAACCTCTGTGAGCCATAAGCCAGCGCTTTAAAGTAGGGATAACAATGTTCTTACAGACTAGCTGCAAAGAAAGTTGGTAAACCTGCCTGGCAGGTGGGTGGGCCCTATAACAACGCCCTTTCTCTCCACTGTAGCACTGGGCCATACGAAATTTACTTAAATCAGGGACACGGAGCCTGGGTACCTGAGCTCTGCAACTTCCCAGGCACAGGTAGTTTGACAAGTCCCCTGTCTGATTCTGATGTTCAGCCAGAGCCGCTGACCTCTCTGGTTTTCCACCTTGATTGCACATTGGATCCCCTGGGGAGCTTTAGCAATCCGATGTGGATGCTGATGCCTTGCCCCAGAGACTCAGAATCAGTGGGACTGGGTGTACCTGGCAGGGGAATTGTTTAAAGCTCCTCAGGGGATTTGAACTTGCAGCTGAGGTGGAGACCACTGAGTGTGAGATTCCTGTGCAATCAAGGCTCCAGGGATGGCATGCGCCCGGTCCGATTAGCTCGGAGGCTGCAAACTCCAGCCTTGGGGGAGGAGGTGAGAGAAACGCTGCCCAGAGACGGGGAAGGCAGACACAAGCCAGACACAGCTCTGACTTCTCTGCTGACAGTTCTGTTGCTATCCAGCTCTGATTGGGCTGCCCCAAGTCACACCACATGCCCCTTGTGGGCTCAGGTCTAACAAAGGCTCATGTCGGACCAATTGTGACTTCTAGGGACAGCATCCAGGTGAAGGGGCTCCTAGGTGTGGGGCAATGAAATGGGCCTCTGCTGCCCACAAAAAATGAACATCTAATTTGGCATAAAAGGCTCAGGACACAGAGTCCCGAGTCTGAGAGGCAGGAGGGTGGACAGGGAAGACCAGGCTCTGGTGGCAGCCCCAGCTCTCTAGCTACTAGCCGTGCAGCCCTGTGCAACTGGCTTAGCCCTTGGAGACTCTGTTTACCCCTCTGTAAAATGGTATCATCACATCCACTTGGGAGTCGCTGTGAGAAGTCAGCTACGTCGTCCACATGGGCAGCATTGGACATGCTCTTCTGTTCCATCTAAAACACTCAAGTCCTTTTTCCAAGCTCCTGTCTCCCAAACAATTCTCATTCACCATGAAAATGTCAGCTCCACGAGGCCAGGGGTTTCTATTTTTTTGTTCGCTGCTCTATCTTCAGCTTCGAGAACAGTACCTAGCAGATACTAGGTGATGTAAGTAGAATATTATAAGTAGTATATTACCTAGTAGATACTTGGTGGTATAAGCAGTATATTAAATATCTGCTGGCTGAGAACTTCTATCAACTTGGTGAAGTGGGCCACACAGCAACAAAGCCCTCCTTCCCCAGAATTACAAAGGGAGGTCCCAAGTCACACAGCTGGTCAGTAGCAGCGCCAGGCCTCAGGGCTGGAGCCAGTGTCTTGTAGGTCACTGGATGCCTGGGGCCGGGGCGACAGAGCTGGGCCTGTGCGAGTCTCAGCAGAATGGCAGAGATGAGGGACAGGCAGAGACCAGAGACACCAGGCTTCCCTCCCAGCTCACCAAGCAGCGATATCTGTAGTCTCCTGCGAGCTGAGCGGGGCTACAGGCCTGCTTCCGAGTGAGCCTGTCCCGGGCTGGAGGATGCACATTTTGCTGTACAAGTCCCCAGGGCTCACAGGCCCTGAGGAGTTGCCCTACAGTGACCAGCAGTCCGACACTAAGAGAGGCTTCAGGGCAGAAGAGGAGCCAGGCCCGGCCTGTGTGGCTCAGCAGTTGAGGGTCGGCCTAGGATCCAGGAGACTGCGGTGTGACTCCCGGTCAGGCACAGGCCCGGGTTGCGGGCTCCATCCCCAGTCGGGGCATGTGGGAGGCAGCCGATCTGTGACTCTCTCATCATTGATGTTTCTCTCTCTCCTTTCCTCTCTCTGAAATCAACAAAAATATATTTAATTTAAAAAAAAAGAGGAGCCGGGGCGGGGGGCTCCCCGGGGCAGGCAGTGACCCAGGCTGCACCGCAGAGACCGCCTGCTCTGAGCTCAGCTTCTGCGGCGGGAGGGAAGATAAAACACGGCCGATGGGGGCCACATGTGCTGGCCACATGTCCCTCCCGGCACACAGCCTGGGGGGGGGGCGGTTCAAAGGAGAAGCCGCTGGCTCTTCCGGGGCAGACAGAAGCGTGAAGTTTCAGAGATGTGACAGCCCCCAGCCACCCTCTGCCCTCTCCAGGTGAGGACCTGACACCCTCTTAAAGTCTACTCATTCAACACAAGGTGTGAGCGACACAGCCCCACGGGGGAATCCGGTTCAGTGAGGACAAACCCTCAAGCCACAGAATGTTCAAGGACAGAGCTGGGCTTCAGGGAAGGCAGGGGAAGGGCTTCTTGTCATCACCCCACTTCACCCACCGGAGGCTGGACTGGCTCTGACCCCGATGCCACTTCCCCTGATGCCAGCTCCGCTCAGCTGGGGCACTTGAGTTTGGTCTCATGTGGACTGGAGACAGCAAACACAGGGGGACCCGAGACCCCAGAGGTAACTTCTGGAAAGGAGAACTGTACCTTCTCCTTGCCTGCCAAGTTACATCATCTCCAGTCCTCCCCTTCTCCATCTGTGCAACGGAGGTGTCACCAGTACCCACCTTCTAGGGTTACTGTGAAATTTAATTCACAACTAAGATAATGCATTGAAACCAATTAGGACACAATTTGGCCCATACCCTAAAGACTCAGTAATCGTCTCAATATTAACAGGTTTCTATCCCCATCATTCCAAGCAAGCGGCCCCTTCTCCGCAGATCTTTGGTTTTTGCCCTCCTGGCCCCGTTTTTCGCAACAGTGGTTGACACTCCTGTTTGAAGTCCCTTCTCTCAGCTCGCTGACCAGGCCGCCCTCCTCTTGGTCCCCCCCATCTCTCTGACCATCTCCTCTTCTCTCTCCTGCTCCTGACCTGTGGCATCTACCCTCCCCCTCCCCCCCAGGGCCTTGAACACTTGACCTCTGCCAGCCCCTCTCCTGGAGACTCCCAGACCTCTGCCTCTCTCCTTAGCACAGCCCCGCCGAGCCAGTCCCACAGCCACCTGCTCTGGCTCCCTGTCACGCTCCCATCTCTCTCGGTGATACCGTCTTCTCTCGTCCCCCAAGCTCCAAACCCTAATGACTCCCCGTCTCTGTCAGTCCCAGCTCCAGGCAGCTGGAAAGTCCTTCTGAGCCTTCCTCCCACCTCCGGTCCCAGAGCATAAGGCCCCTCGCCCCTGAGCGAGGCTCTCACAGAGCCCCCTCCAAATATATCCACTCACATCCCGGCCCAGCCGTTTGGCAACACAGCATTGGGGTTAAGAACACAGACTCAGAGCCAGCCTCAGTTTCCTGACCTGTAAAGTGGGGACAGTGTTAGTACCTTTTTCAGAGGAGATGCTAACTGTTGAGGGGTTACAGTAGTTTATATACACAAATCACCACATAAGGCTGCAAGAGCCTTTGTTGTTATTATCGTCACCTGTCTGACCCCTGCCTTGGCCTGGGAGCAACCTAAGAGGGAAGCTTGGGTGGGACAGCTCAGTGGGCCCACAGCACCCAGCACAGTGCTCTGCGCCCCGTTGGCACTGAAGGCACGGCTGCTGGATTCTCCCAAATGCGTGTGTGAGGCTTTAAGGAGGCTCCTCCGTCATTTTCCTGCATGAGCCCTCCCCCCACTGCCCTGAGAGGGCCCCCAGACGCGTTGGGTTACCTTAGGGTTACCCTAGGGCTCAGTGCCCAGCTAGTGTGACACGCCTGGCCCCTCCATTAATACCGCTTCCAGCCATGTCGCAGTCAATCTATTCCCTGCTGCGGATCAGGGCCCCAGCTGCCCAGCGCCCTGGAGGGACAGCAGTCTGGGCTCAGTCTGGGAGGGGGAGATGGAGCCTGCCTGGTTTCCCCCATGACCCGCACCCCACCGCACCCTCTCCGCCTCCGAGGCTGAACAGCGCGCCCGGGCCTCTGAGCCCGGCTGCCCTCCTCACCATCCCTGACAAGCTGGGTTCTGAGACCCTGGGAGCCCCTCCCTAGGGATGCAGAGTTGTGGGGGGTCGGCTGGACCCCCTAAAACCTCTGGGCAGTGGGGCTGAAGATCCTAATTCCTTCCACCTTGTGAGACTTTAATTGGCAGGCTCCCCTTCTCCAACCTTGAATTTCCCTTCCCTCTGCCTCCGTCTCTCTCCGCCCCAACCATCCGGTCCCCGACCGTGCAGCCTTCCCTGCGCCCCTGGGCTCCAGCCCGATGCTCCAACCACTCTGTCCTCCCGCCTCCCCAGGACCTGCCCAGACACACAACTTGGGTTTGTCTGGCTAGATGCCTGCTTTTGTCTCTGGTCTCATTTTGCACAATTACTTTCCTGTCTGCTATACCTGTGTGCACATCTGAGATCCCTGTGGTTGGACTATAAGCTCCCTGACGATGGAAGTGAGGCTACATTCCCCTGGATGCTGCACAGGTGGAGGTGTGATGGGCACATAGTAGGTGCTCGTGACCGCCTGTGGAATAGATTGTGGCTTTTCTGTCCCAACCAAGAGGCAGGAAAAGGTGCCACCTCATCTCTTGGATCAGAAGCCTAACATGGAAGGAGACAGGGTTCCTGGAGGTCCCCCTCACCCCACCACACACATAGCCTGTCAGTAGCCACTGTGAGCAGGGTCCCAGCGAGCCCATGCTAATGCCACCAGCCAGGACGCCCCAGTGTTCCTGTTCGAGTGGCCGGCAGAGGCCCCGCTTCCTCAAGACCGCCGGGCAGCCTTGCCCATGAGCCTCTGCCAGCTTGCCCACCAGCTTCAGCAATCTCCGAAACCAGGCTGGGTTCTCCTGACTTACCACAGACAAGCACCACCTTACAGCTCCCCTGGCACTTAGCACAATTGGTAATTATATGTTTCTTTGTGTAATTATTGGATTGATGTCTGCCTCCCCCACTGGATGTAAACTCCACGATGCTGGGTGAAGGGTGAAGACTGTGTGTTTGTTCCCTGCCGACTTCCCAGCCTCTAGCGCAGGGCACAGCACGGCACATGGTGGGGAGTCAACAAACACTTGTGGACGAAATGCTGAATTTGGTATTTTACTCACACCAAAGCCTTCCTATGTAGGCTGTGCCATGTGAGCCTCGAAGCGGCCCTATAAGGTAGGTAGACGTTTAAATAACCATTTTACAGGTAAGGAAACTGAGGCTCAGAAAAGTCAAAGTTTGCCCAGATTGACAGTACTTTTTGGCCACAGAGCCAATTAGAAACCAGGTGTATCCACACGCAACAATCTGCACTCATTCAATGGTGATGATGATGATGATGATGATGGTGATAGCTAACAAGTGACAATAGTAGGCTGTCCCATCTGAAAGTTCCATGAGCTCTGTATCCCACCCCTCACCCCCATTTATGGCAACTTGGCTGGCATAAAGTATAGGATCCTGACTCCCCAGAATCCACCTGCCAATAGTGGGGGCTGGTGGGGACCAGGCCTCCTCTGTGTATCTAGAACCCTGTTTGGCCCCCATGTGCCCCAATGGTGGGAACGATGAAGACAGGCTGCTGAGCTCCAGGCCAGGACACCTCAACACCCATGGGGCTCCCCAACCCCAGACACCTCCCTTCCCTCCCCCCCCAGAGGTTCCCACCAGTGGGGATGCCTGACAGGAAGGAAGAGGAGGGGTGGGGGAGGGCTGTAAGGAGATGAAGGCAGACACTGCCCAGGGAGGGAAGAGAAGGGAGGCTCACGAGTCCTACCCTGTGCAGGACGACCCGTGCACAGTTCCAGGGGTCCCTGCTCAGATTGAGGGGACCGCCCACATCTACGTGAACCAGGCCTCCCGCACCTGTGCAGGGTGAGGGACATTTTCTCAGCTCACCGGTCATAGTCCCCGTTGCAGAGGGCTCTCACAGGAATGGAGAAAGTTTGCCACACTGGATTTAGGGTGTTCTTCATGACCTCAGTCTTGTGGCAGATGGTGAACCTGGCAAAGAAGAGAGGAAAGGTGTCAGACCCCAAGCCAGGGAAGGTAGAATCCAGGTCAACTGAGGGACCAGCTGGTTAATCTCTACAGTTGTCACACAGTAGAAACCATGGCTTTGTGAAGTGATGAGCTGCCCGTCACTAGCAGCATCCAGGTAGAAGCTAGATGGCCATTTCCTGGTGGTGCTGCAGAGAGGATTCCTGAGCAGGGCTGGGATGCAGGTTTGGGGCCCTGCTCTCTGTGTGACCTTGATCATGCCTGTCCCACTCTGGGCCCGTTTCCAGGGAGCTGGCCGCTATCAGATATTCTTCAACTGAGATCCATGGAAGAATCTGCAGGTGTGCCTTAGGGATTTGTGAGACCCTGACACTGTCAGGGAAGTTGGGGGTCTGGGCTTCACATGCCTGCTGTTTTCCTGTCTGTCCCCTCAGATCTCCACCTTCATGGTTCACTTCCTCATTTCCTTCAGGTCTTTACTCAAATGTCACCCCTTTGACATGAGTATCTGCCATGGGCACCATATCTAAAACTTACAACCCCTCGGCCCCTGACTCTGACATCCCTAACCCCCTTCCATGTTGCTTTTGCACTTCGCCTGTCACCATTTGACATGTGACATAGTCTAATTTCCTCTTTATTTATTTTATGGTCTGTCACTAAAATGTAAGCTCCGCAAGGGCAAGGGTTTTGTCTTCTTTGATTACTGGTATATCTTTAGTGTCCCCAACTGCCTGGCACATAGTAAATACATGTTCACTAAATATTTTTTGGAATTAATAAATGAATAACTGTATTTCTCAGAGGAGAATTTCCATAGCATTTGCTGGCATTTCAAGCCAGAGAAGGAAAGCCCCCGGCTGAGATGATCTCTGAGACCCTTTCAGCTCTGAATCCATGCGCTTGCTTTGCAAACCAAAAGTGCAGAACTGGCTTACCCCATCTGGGCCCCACCGCAGCGTCGCTGCCCACTCCCCCCCACGCCTGGCTGGCCCCATCCTGGAAGCCCGCCCTGCCACATGGGGGGCAGCGGGAGCCAGTGGCGCTGGGGCCAGGGGCCCCCCTGAGGTTCCCGGCACCTATCCCAGCTGCCTCCGGGCTTGGAAAGGTCACCCGGGAAGGTGCCTGGGCTCCGCCCGTGCCCACACAGCCTGTGCCATTTCTTCTCTGGAAATTTTCAAGTCAAAATGTCATTTCTGTCACTGAGGCTCAGCGTTTCTCTTCTCCGCTCCTTCTTGCCCACCCACGGAAGTATAGAGATACATGTGGGAGACCTCCCCACACACCCGGAGCTGCTGCTGACGACAGGAATGGGACGGAGGGAGGAGGGGACACAGCTACCCGGGGCTGGGGCAGGCAGGTGGCTGGAAGAGGGGGCTGGGGAGGCAGGAGGGAGGATCAGGAGCTTGATGGGCAGTGAAGGGAGGAGGTTCGCGCTGTGCAGAAACCCTAACTGCACT